GATTACCAAGTATAACAAGCCGAGCCTTGTATCTCTCTATACTGCCATCAGACTTGCGCTTGATTTTATATACCCACTTGCATCCAAGAGCCTTTTTATGACGTGGAGGACTAACAAGAGACCACGTACCATTGGCTTCCAACGCATCAATTTCTTCTCGCATGGCCTTCCTCCAACGTTCATCCTGAAAGGCCTGTTTGAAATTTTTAGGCTCTATTTCTTCATCAAGTGCTGCGAGAAAACACTTATGTTTGTCAGAGAATTTCGCATAAGTGACATATGAGGAGAGTGGATATCTGCACTTTTCTCCGATCTGTGGACCAGCCACGTGCGTAACATAGTCCGCAAGCCTCACATTTGAGCGCCTTTCCCGCTGACCACGTCCCAAGATCTCTGCTGTGTTCTGGAGAGAGGACGGTCGACCGCCATCCGTGGAACGGTCCACGGGGTCGACCGTCTGTAATGGTTCCTGAGCATCTTCTTTCTGCCGCAGAGACGGTCGACCGTTCTCCTCGTCACGGTCGACCGTTTCATCATCCCTCGGGAGGTTATCTTTCTGCCCTTCGGACGGTCGACCGAGGTCATCAGGACGGTCCACCATGTCGACCGTTGGTTGCACTCCCAGAGGTCCATCTTTCTGCCTCTCGGACGGTCGACCGTGGACAGCGGGACGGTCCACCGGGTCTACCGTCTGTAGCTCACTTGCTTCACAGGTCCCCTCCGGTCGACCGTTCCTCGGGGAACGGTTCAGCTGCTCTTTCGCAGTCATGTCATCTTCACTGTCAAAGTGTTCAACTGGAGAAGAAACACTTGCTCCATCTTCATTCAACATTTCACCTGTGGTAATCAAGTAGGGAAAAATGTTTTCACAGAACACAACATCTCGGGACACGCTTATTTTCCCAGTGTCCGGAAAATACACGCGCCATCCCTTCTTTCCTTGTGGATAGCCCAAAAATATTCCAGGAATACTTCTGGGTGCAAATTTATCTCCGTCTCTTTTCAGGTTGTGAACGTAACATCTGCAACCAAAAATACGAATGTGAGTTAACGCAGGGGCCCTTCCATAAAGCTTTTCATATGGTGTAACCCCCCCTAGGAGAGACGAGGGAGTCCGATTAATCAAATATGCCGCCGTTTGTATACATTCTCCCCAAAATTCTATCGGAAGACCCGCTTGAAATCTCAGAGCACGTCCCACATTCAAAATATGTCGATGCTTACGCTCCACCCTTCCATTTTGCTGTGGTATAGACACACAAGATGTCTCACGAACAATTCCCTTCTCCAAAAAATATTCATTCAAGCACTCAAATTCTGTACCATTGTCACTTCTCACACATTTTATTCTCTTCCCAAATTGACATTCAACCATGGCACAAAATTGTTTAAAAACACTCCCTACAGTTCGTTTTGAATCAAGCAAATATACCCACACACCACGCGAGAAATCATCTACAATAGTCAAAAACAGTGTAGAACCATCCAAACTTGGTGTCCGATAAGGACCCCACACATCACAATGCACCATATCAAACTTGTCCATAGATTGAT